CGAGAGGTTTTCATTTATAACATTTTTTTTGTTGTTTTCGACTTGATTTTTATTTTATTGCCTCATCGCCATAGTTACCTATTTGCAAATAGTCAATAATATTGTAGGTCCATTTTATTGTTGTTCTTTCTACGTGCCGTTGTAACACATTTTCATCTCATCATTGAATTTCTGTTGTGCATATATTATTGTATAGAAGATATTTTAAAGTGATTCATCAGGTGGAAAACGAAGTTTTATAATAATGGAGTGTACAAAAAGTGACCTGAAAAACAGCGCTAACTCACATGGCCCAATTTTAATGAAACTTGTTTTATTATGTTTCTATTCTCATTTCATTACAAATATGGTGCTATTGTACGCCATTTTTGATCTTTTTAATTACAGACAAGCACACAAACAAAAAATCTCAGAGTTTTAGTAGTATATAGATTATGATATTGCTTGCAAAAAAACATCATTGCCCTGTAAAATATATTTGTTTTCTGGTGAAATTTATTAAAGGCAATCAAGATGTTTATAGGCTTAATGAACTGGAATGCAAGCAAGACTTTTTAGCATGTTAAAAAAAGCTTTTAAAATTAAAACCTAGTTCATAAAAAACTACATGCAAGTTTATGACAACAGTGAAAAGCTAAATAAGTACCAAATTAGAGTAAAAGCTTTACTGACCATCATCTGCTGGACCTGGGAAGTGCCAGATTAGGCAAAAATTGTTGTTATGAAAACATTTCTCTTATGATAGTTTACAGGAAAAATTTTGACACCTTGTTAATGTAGTACAATATGTTTTCATCATCTGTGTTTTTTACAATAATAAATGTGAAAAACCTTAAGCTGTTTAAAAACATTTATAAGTACAGTATTTGACATGTGAATTACAGTACAGATGGCTAGCAACTGAATTGTTGTAGGAAAGAATGTAAGCAAAGCCACAGTATTGCTACTAACTAAGCTAAATTAAGCATTTGCATATGGAGATGTTGAAATTTTGCAGTTATTAAAGCTTTCTGGATGTGAAAATACTGGATAACGAGGCTTTTACTGTAGTTGTTTTTAAATTGAGAAATTAACAGCAAATTTTATTGTTCTTGTATTGGAAATTTATAATTCTTGTGCTTTGTGTTCATACAATGCATACATCTTTGTGTGTTCTTTATTTATGTTAACAAAAGTATTAACAGTATATCTACAATTCATTAATGGCTTGTAACTGTTAGGATTTTAACCAAGTGTTTTCATTGTAATACAAAACAATAAAATCTGACTAAACTGGGCAATGCTATTAACTTAATCAAATTATTAACTATTGAATTAAGCTATAATATTATGTCAGCTCAACTTTGGAATAAGAACATGAAGCAAGGTAACAAAACCATTCAACTCATTGAGATTAGTTTTATACACTTATTAATGATAATGTGTGAGTGTTAGATCCATTTTGTTGCAGTTTATAGTCTGAGAAAAAGTTTGACAAAGTAGAAAATTGAGTAAACTAGTGAATTGTGATTGTGTAGACAAAATACTAATTAATTTATGCTTTATTTTTGTTCTTATTCCAGTGGAGAGTCCAGGCTAAGGTGATAATTAGGTTAACACCAGTATTTTATGTGTGTAGGAAAATCCTGACTGCATGTCACATTTTTGTAGTTTCTATAATATGTAAACCAGAGGAATATGATTGGTAAAAGGTCTTAAATACATCATACTTTATTGTTTTTTGTTTGTTTTTTTGTGAAGATGATGAACCAAATAAACCATAGAGTTATAGTTGTTTAAAAATAGTTTTGGTAACATCATACTTTATTGCAGTTCTTATAACGATGCAAGTAGACCAGAGAAATGTAGTTGAGTTGAAAAATACTTTTCTATCATTACAGTAATGAAGATGTAAGTAAATTGCAGAATTATGGTTAAGAAAGAGAATCTTGAAAATATAAAATTTTATTTCAGTTCTTATACCGATGGGGAGTCCATGTAAAGCAGATAATTGGATACTGTTGGGTAAGGGAGGAGCATCATATCATCTTCCTCAAAGCATGATTTTTATTGGTCGTCAAGAATGTGATATTCTCTTGCAGGTACTAATTGTAAAATTATATTTTAAAAAGTATATTTGAGTGACCATAGATATTTGTTCTTTTGTTTTAAGTTTATTTCATAATTGATGCTTTTGGGATCAGAAAAATATTTTGTGGACTAAATAAGTAGATAAATGCAATTAATCTGATAAAAGTGCTTGAGTTGTGTGTTCAATGTTGATTTTTCATATATTTGTACATGTTTTGTTTTATTGCATAGTTTATGTACTATTTGAAATTATCATATGATTTTCGTTTGTTTAGAATATTTTCAGGGTTCACGATTAATGCTATCAAACTACCAAATTGATTATCAGTGTGGGAGTTTTGTTAGTAAAATATAGAAGGCACTAGAAAAAAATTTGTTAGTAAACATTTCAGAAGTAAGATTCACAGATTCTACCAATCAAGTATCAATACACCTGTGATACAAGCATTTATCATTTATATTGCAAGAAGGTTAAGAGTAATTACGGAAGGTTACTGTAATCATGATTAACAAGATTCAGTGTTTCACATGCCAGTGCTGTAAGTTTTGCAATCCCCAACTGAATTGCATGGCATAATGATATACAAGCAAAGTATTAAGAAAGGGATATAGTGAGACTTCAGTTTAAACTCATTTGATTGGTTGCTACAGCAATTATCACATAAGCCAACTGGCTAGACTTGAACTATTAGGCCTCTGCAATGCAGTTCTGCCAGCCATTGTAGAAATATTTGCCCAAGTGGTTGCCCACTAAAAGTAACAATAAAATGTATATCACATAAACTACAGATTTGATTTGCATCTCTCTCAATTTGTCTGTGATTAACACAAATGTTAGGCCTATTAGCTTCTAATACTTTGCTGGCTTTCATTGTTTGAATTATAACTTTTAATAATAAAATACGCTTTAGAATAGGTAGCTGTAAACAATTTGATACTGTAGATTTTGCCGATGTAGATGCTCTTGGCCAAAATACACAAGTTTCCACCAAAATCAAACATTTTTAACTTCTTGTTACATAGATAAAATATGTTTTGATACATGAAAATACTTGAAAAGCAAATGTGACACAGAAGATTTATACGTACTGTATTTAATACATGAAATACATAATTATGACACACACATCTTTTAGAGCTGGGTGATTAGTGAAAGTTGCTTATCAGTTAATTCTTGGGTTCATTAATAGATTGTATTGAGCTAATCAGTTGTTTCATGCAACTTGGATAGCGGACATAACTGAAAATAATATTAATCAGAAACTTATTTTGATTAGTTGATTATTGAGATGAGTTGTGACATTATTCAGTTAAGCTGAACAATCTTGAATCAATCATATATAAATAATATATGATTTATATATTATTTTAATAATATAAACGTAGAAGTTTGTAAAGCCTAGAAAAATAAATAGTATAAAGATGTCAGGTATTACTAATGCATGTGATAGTTAATGATACAAATATTAAGCATTTTCTATTAGGGTTTAATTCAGATATGACTTCTGTAATGTGGCACCATGACACAGTTAATGACTACATTAAGATCAAGTGCATTGTTACAGAAATTTTTCATTACTTGAGTATTTTGATGAGTTGTAGTTTAAATCATGTGCATGTGTGTAATAGTAATCAATTATGTTAGCCAAAAACTTTATTTTATAATACTTTATGATAGCACTTTTTCCCTATTTTAACAAGCTTTCTTCTTTTTTTTGCTCTTCTTATGGGAGGAATGGAATATAACGTTATTTAATTTTAAAAATGAAGCCTTTGATATTAAATAGTTTATCAGTTGATTTATATTTTATCTGTATTTGTATAATAGATAAGAGTATATAATTTCATTAACAGTAAATTATATTAAACTGCTTATCTGGTACTGTACTGATTAATATTCTCACTAGATGACAGCACTGGAATTTATATCCATGAGCTGACATGTAATGCTTCTGTATTAATATTATGTGTAGGTTTGACCATGACCTCATGAGTGTGAGTTGTTTGACAAGTACAAACCTGTAGTAAAGTACACTTACCTTTTGTAGACAAGTAGGGCAAGCGGTTGAATCATTCTGTGATTTTCTTATCTAAATAAGGAATTGTGAGTTTGTGTTATTTGTCAAGTGTGTTTCAGAATTATATATCTTGTAGTTTTGTTGCTGTATTCAAGCAACATTTTACATATAGATGCTACTTTGACATTTTTCTTGATACTTCTAGAACATTGTTATTTAAAAAGAAAAATGTGGTAAGTTTATTTCAGGTCTTCTTGATTTTTTTTATTTATTTCTGATAACATTTTGTACTTTGGTTATTACCAAATTAAATTGGATTATAGATAATTTTGTAAAAGGTGGTGTTGTACAAGCATATGAAATATATTAAGTTTAATTATAAATGCATTTAAAAGTTGTATTTTACCAATGCTATAATGGTTGTCTTTTCTTTTGTTCAATTCTTGGATGTGTTTACTAAAGAGTGCATTATTTTTTAATAAAAACTTGAAAACGTTATTTTGAACTTTGTTCTGTAATATGATATTTGTAATGAGAAAATTTAGTCATTTGAAATTAACTACAAAAGAAGGAGTACTTTTATATGGTGTATATTGGAGTAACTTAGGAAGTTAATATACTTAAGCAATACAATTGATAATTTTATTATTCATATTTGTATATCTAGTCTAAATAGGTCCAATTTAGTATGCATGAAAAATTTATCCAATCAGCACTTACCAAGTTTGATGAATGCAAGTTAAAATATGTCCATTCTTATATGGCTGAGATATATACATTTAATTGATCTACTAGCCTAACCTTTTGAAGGTTGAGTGATACAACTCTTTTAATTATATTCTATCTACCATGTAGAACATTTGGTCATGGTTGAGTGGGATTCATAATCCAGTTATCTTGGGCACTCTACTGACAAAATAAATTGCCTGTACATTTATGTAGTGGTTCTACAAGCATGGTTGTGTTCGTATGAATATCCATGTTTGTGCAATTTAGTCCACGTAGAAGATATCATAGGGTGTGGTTTTAAAGTGTGTGCAAGGTGGTGAAACCAGGTGTTTGTTTTCTTATATAAGTACTATCAGATCCATACATTCAAGTATTTTATTTGTCTTACGTACAAGATTCTGGTTCTGTTTTATGCAAGAAGTGCATACAATTTGCTGAAACAAGTGGTCAGTGTTCTTACATTGTAAGTGCTGTAGGATCCACATAATTTTGTATTTTATGTATCTTACCTTTGAATTTTTTATAGTACATAGGCTCTGTATTGGTTAATGAGATTTGTTGTGTGTTTTTATATACTGTAAGTACTATTAGCTTTACATAGTAAAATGAAAATCTCTACATTTTTTGTATGATGTATCAAGTGCATACAATTTTATAGAGCTAGCTGTCTCAGTTGCTGTGTTGTGTTATTTAAGGGCAATATCTTAAAGGTCCAGTATCTTATACATAAGAAATGTCAAGCTTTGACTACATGAAATATAAAACATAAAAGTTAATGAAACTAGTTGTGTATGTATTTCTCATGTATTACTAAGAGAAATGCTGGTGTGTGTTATGTAGTCAGGTATAACCAAATATTAATATATTTTATTCTTGTTTTTCTTATAACCATCTTGTATTAGCAAGGTACACACATACATTGGTACATACAATTAGGTAGATATATAAAACAAAATTGTTGTATTTCTTTTAGTCTTCTAGTTATGATACTGTTAGTTGTTTTGTAGGGTTAGACACAAATGACTATTTAACCTTAAAGGTGACATCTGTTTACACCTTTGACAATCTACTAGAATTGACAAGAGACCTACTATTGTGTAGTTTAAGGTTAGCTAGTTAACCATTAAAATGTTGTCTAAATTCTGTCTGTTTTTTAGCTTTAACAAAGAAAACCTTATCATGTGCTATGAAAAGTCGTTTAACTGTAAAATCATGAAACTTACAGCTACTTTCTTTCTGTTTCAGTCTTCTAGCGTTGATAAAAGACATGCTGTGATATGTTATGATGCCAGTGAACGATGCTTTTGTATTAAAGATCTGAACAGTCTAAATGGAGTGAGAACACTTTTTATTTTTGAACTGAAACAAAGAAATGTGCAAGTAGATGGGAATACCTAATTGTTTAGAATTTAGGAAAAGTTTTTAAGAAAAGTTAATATGAAGCAAGTACAATAATAAACATTTTCTTTTAAAGGTAAATTAAATTGTATTTTTGATTTCAGAACCAGATACAAATGACATTTTTATGCATAATAAAATGATTATTAATGAAAAAAAGCTGCTGCTGTCATCATCATTCATAATGGTAGCAGTTATTGCTGAAGTTGTTTGGCTCTTGCTTTTATTAATAAATATTCTAATATGCATGAAAATCTTATTTTTGAAGTAAATAACATAATATGTCATAAGTTGTATTTTAAAATCATGAAAAATGTTGTAGGTGTTATGGCAATAGTGATTTATGTGTAAAAAACTATAGTAGTAGTTGTTGTAATCAGTACATATACTTTGTTTGTTTAACAATTCAATTTTCAAAGTGATAAGTATCTCCCCTCATTATTTCATGTAGATGTAAATATAGTTTTGTTTAGATATTAAGGAATGTACAATAAAACATTCTGTCACTTCTTTCAGACTTATCTAAATGGATTGCGTATACCAGAACAGTCTTATGTGAAGTTAAACCATCTTGACTGTCTTCGTTTTGGCTACGATATCCTTTTACAGTAATCTACAATGTAACTTAAATATTTATATGAACTAGCTGTTCTTTACATATTATTTACAGAAAATATTTAATCTTTATATAAACATGCATATGTGTTTTATATATCCAGCATGATATGTATTAAGCTCATGTCAATACTGCTTGTTTTTTCATTTAAAAATATGCATTGGATCTAAAGTGGTAATGATTAAGTATTGTCATTTAGCTTAAATTCTTTTTGAGGAAATAGAATGGTACCACTTTGTTGTTGGAAAGTTTACTCAGTTGCTGTATATATTTATGGCATCATTTAGCTATTCTGAACCTTGCCAGTTTGATCTGTAAATTGTTTATGGTCATATATAACATAGTACTACTACTAAATCATTTTCACAAAGCTTATTTTTGGTGTAAATTGTTCATGTATGTAGAGGGGTACCATTAGCTAATGTCAGTGCTTTTCACATCCTCTGTAAATCATTTATAGAATATTACCTCTTAACTGTTGTCATCTTGGGTAATTTTCTATGTAATTTACTTATAAATATAGGAGATACCATTACATACTAACAATCCAGCTCAATTATATTTATTTGTATACATACAGTAAGGTTTTGCAGTTTATTATTTTGAACATAGGTCATTGCTTCTGTAAATAAAATTTTATAAAGTGGAACCACTGAGTTGTCATCAAAGTGGCATATTTCTTGTGTAAACTTAGCACCATGTAGTTATTATCAACCAAGCATTTTGGAGTATAAATTATTCTTGAATGTGGAATGGTACATTTAACTCTTCTGTAAATTATTAATGTAAATTGGTATCACTTTATTACCAATCTAGTTATAGTCCTCTGTAAGTTCACTTTAGACATAGAATGGTACCACTTAGCTACTGTCAACTTTTCTCATTTCCTGTGTAAGTTATGTGGCGTTTAAAATAATACAATACAGCCATTACTAGTATTTTTACACTTGTAAATTAACTTTGGATATGAATGGTATAATTTGATAATAGTAATCCATTTAATTTTCTTTTTAAATTAAATGATAGTACATGTATTGGTACTTTTCTCCAGTTTGCTTTGTATGTTGATTCTGGAGATTAAATAGTACAATAGCCTTCATTTGAATGATTGTTTTTTTTTTAATATTATCAGCGTAGGATTAGTTAGAAAAAGACTGAGGAATTTTTTATTATTCCTTTGCATATGTATGTTTTCTGAGGTAGAGTATTAAGGTGCATCTAATCTATGGAATTTTTCTTCAAAAATAAGTATTTATAAAAAGTTTAGAAATTATTGTTTCAACTGTGGATGATTTTGCAATTATATTTTGAAAACTTTTGTTGTTTAGTAATTTTGTTTCAACAGTTAAATATTAATAATTGTTTTCTGGAAGATTTCGTTATTTCAATCAGTCATGGAGAGGACAATTGAGAACTGTGCTGTTAATTGAAACAAACCAAACAAAATAATGTTTGTGGGACACTTTCAAATAATTTGACAAATGTTTCTTAGCCCTTTTCACACACTTCAGGAATTGTCAAGATAATCTACTTTGAAATCCCATGGATCAACACTAGACGTCTAAAGGAATCTCCTGTGGCCAAACATTCTTTAAAAATGTTTTTTGTCTTGATTATTACTAGCCAGCCCACTATACTCAGTAAAACTTCAGATCATCTGGATACATATGTAACCCAAATTTAAACCCTACTAGAACTCATAAGCATAACTTATTTTAATGAATACTATGTGAACCAATCTATTTTAGCAACATAAATAAATTAAAAACCCATATTTTTTTTCTATATGTCAAATATGTAATTAATTGTATATTTAAATAAGGTAACAATACAGTTTTGCTTCTTCACTGGAGACAAGCAGTGTAGGACATGAAAGATTACTGCTGCAATTTGAATTATCTGTTCTGAAATTTTGTTTCTGCAAATTTCTTTGAGGAAGTAAAATAGTATTTTTAAAGTGGTTTTATCAGAGAAAGTTTTCATAGTCAGGATGCACCTTTATCATTTATTGAATTAATTAGCATCAGTTATTAAACCTTAACCAAATTGTACGATCTGATGTTTTTTACGTGAGAAAATCTGTAGAAGCTTCTACTCCAAAACAAACCATAGAATCAAGTAGTTGTCTTTCTCAACTCGACCAAAGTTCTAAAGGGGTAAATTATTGTTGTACAAAAAAATCCTTTTTCTCTTAATAAAACATTTCATAAAAGTCATCAACTTTTTTAATAAAGGCTATCTTTTCTGTTTTTTTAATTTAATTTTGTTCTAAATATAAATGTACCTGTATTTTTTATTGATAATTTAAGTATAGGATCTGTAGGCCACAAAGTCAAAAAACACTAGCTGAAAATGTAAAAAACTCGCAGTACTATTGCATACATGTAATTGTTTTGTGAAACTGTTAATAATACTAGATTACACTGTTTAGTTTAAGAATAAGTCCAAGCAACAAGTGTTTTTCTTGCGAATGTTGACTATTAATTTAATTTATTAATTATATAGAATCTCAAGTTTCTCATACATTTTTGAATTGTTTATATTTATTAGTTTTAACTTAAGTTTTGTACCTTAAATTAGTATAACGTAGGAACTTAGACTTCAGGAGTTTCTCATCTTGCATGAATATTTTAATTTGCTAATCTGTGACTTCTTAAGATGATTCTATACAAGCCTAGAAAAACACTGTTATACTGTTTAAAGATGTTGAGCAATTCACTTGTAAATCTAAAGATAGTCTTTGTGCATTGATAGGCAACATTACTGAGCAAACCATTCACAGACTCGTGGAACTCTACCAATCAAAACAGAGAGACTAGTACGAAATTTAAACGGCATTCTGTTGGAGATACAGATATAAATGGTTGTCATGTAGTAACAAATAGAAAATACAGCACATCAGACAAACTACAAGACCACCAAGAAAAGCTACAATATACTGATTCACTAGAAGACCTCAGGACTACTCCAAGTAGTGCTCAAGAGCAGTCATCCCATTCAAGACTTTCACCAGTGTTTTTGATTTCACAGAAGTCACAACCTCAAGCAAAACCATCAGTTATGAGTCCTCATGGAAGTCGCACTAATGTAAAATCTGCAGGGGATAGTAGTCATCCACATTCACCAGGTGAGACAGCTACATAAACAAACACACTGTATTATCTCAGTAAACCAGTATGCAGGTAAGACAACTAAATAAGCACACTGCATTATTTCAGTAAACCCATGTGCATGTAAGACATGTACATAAACATTGATTGTATGGTATCTGACACTTTTGTGTAAATACTAGCGTATAGCCCGTCAAAAATGACGGGGCAAGTACTACCACCCCACCCCATTGTATACCCTAACCTCACATTTCATAGCTAACTGAAATAAATAAAATTTGTGAAATCAAGCTTGACCAACAAAGAGGCTGAAAAGTGCAGTCGAGGCAGTCAAATGTCGGTAAATTCCTTTGTGAACCAATCAAAATTAAGATCATTCATGAAATATGTTCATGGCTTATTTACGGGATAATTATTGGTAAAACCAGTTATATTAAGAGCTTGTAATATATAGAAAAGCCATAGCATTTTGGTAACACTATGTTCCTAAAATGGCTTTTATGTCATGCTGCTTAGCAACAAAAGTATAACCTAATATTGTTGTTAGTCTATGTACTGAAAGTATGAAATAAAATGTATAGACAACAAAAGTGGAAAAATATTTGTTGGTTTCTTAATTTAGTGTGTCTGTTGATTAAAGAGGTTTTTTTTTATTATTAAAAACATTGGTGATATAACAGAAAATAGCTTAATTCATAAATGATTTAAGTTTAAAATTGAATATATTTTTACTTTCATGATAAGTTTTATGCACTTGGCTCTAGGCTAGGTGATCCCACACTACGTCTTTACTTTAGGTTTATTATACCAATGCTCAAAACACCCCACCCCTCTTCACGGCCACCTTGCACCCTGTCACTAAAACTGTAATGGGCAGACAGTAATTGAACTATTCTATATGTATAAATGCATTTTGGCTTTTATGACTCCTATTTTGAGAAATCAAGCGTGGCGTGACACACACACTGGCTTTTATATAGATTAGATTGATTGTATAATGCCTAAACAATTTTATGTACAAAATTGTTTGGCAACTTCAGAAACATTGAAAATGTTGCACCTGAGCATTCTTATGTACACATGAGACAACTAGATAAACAAAGACTGTGTAATTCAACACTTTTTTTTTTAGACAAATTAGAGAACCTTGTTAACATTGTGTGGTGCAGCAGTTTCCTCTACTGGCAATATAGCTAAATGAAATGAAATATTTGATCTCAATAGTTTGTGATTTCACTTGTACACTGGAAAATAATAATATTCCATTTTATGACAGTTTCAGAATATTTGAAATAATTGTTCAAGTTATCAGAAGGAAACTCAAGGATGGAATATCTTCAGTCTGTTATTACTATTAAATAGGCACAATTATGTTACAGTTGCCATGTTCTTTATATTTGGGTTTAATGTTCTAACTGATCTATGGAATGACTAATTTAACAATAATGAAGGAAGTTAGCCATTTTTATATTTATTCTAGTGAAGGTTTATAATTAATTATTTATAAAAAATGTATATGATTCTCTAACTCCAATTTCTAAATCATTTGTAAACTTGAGATCTATTTATGTAATAATAATCAGGCTCATTATCAAATATTCACAGAAAGCACTACTGGGGAGAAAACCCCAACACCAAGTACCCAACATACTGTTGGTCAAGAAAGCTTTTCACAGAAAGCTGAATCTCCATGTTCTGAGGAGAAAGATGACAGGACAGACAGTGGAATTGTTAGTTCTCCAGATAAGGGAGTGGCAACATCACCTGTAGCTTTTACCATTGCTTTTAGTAATGAGTTTGCTGCACCTCGCAAAACTTTGGGTATTAAGGACAGCATAAGCAAATTTGCCCCTCCTGACAGACAACGACAAAGAACTAAGGCTAATGACAATACAAATGGAACAAAGGTATAAGGATTAATTCTCAGTTGACAATTTTTGCTGTTAAAGTTTTATAATTTCTATCAGTTATTTGTAACTTTGGAAAACTTTGTTACAGAACTTTAAAATTCTTTTTCCCATCTCACACAATTCTCTCCACAGCCATTACTTTGAAACTTGTTGAAGTGAACACATTAAATTTTTGAACATTTTTTAAGATTTCAAAGATTATAAGATTTACAATAAGCAAAATATTGCTGGTCATTATTGGGGGGGAAATATGGTTTGTTTATTCCAACCCTTTACGGAAGGCATGGTACAAAAATCTTTAATGGTGCTTTTTCACTTGCAGCCTTATTGCATGAATAAAGTTCTTTGTAAATTTGTTGCAAATATGATTTTTAAAACTTTCATAACTATTGAAAAAAACAAAAAAGAAGTGAAACACTTTTGCATCATTTAAATGCTTTTAAGATGTTGTTCATCTAGTTTGTAATACTATTTAATGTCTCAAGTATAGTGTATTTTGAGTGATCCAGTATTACAAATTGATTTTCTACTATTTAGGAAACCAATATTCTCTCCTTTGTCAAATTCAAATAAGTTATGTTTTAGCATAGTGAAAAAAAACGTCAACATTATTATTGTGTGTTTGTAGTTATACTCGCCTAGTTCCTTGCAGACTGGCCTTGGTGGACCAGATCATCTGTTCAAAGAGTGTCCAGCTACTTTTGGCAGGGTAATATGTGTTAAGGCTCTATTTTAAGGAAATTTCCAGGTTGTCAACCTGACCTGTATTAGAGGTTGTCTGGAAGCTGTATTGGTTGTCCGAAAAAAAAAGCATAGACCCTCCAAAAAGATCCAATTATGACAATATTGATGTACAAAGACCCTAAAAAAGATCCAGTTACTAGAATGTTGATGCTTTTATAACTTATTTATTTCTAAAAAGGACAATTAATGTTTAGTTGGCAATTTAGCATCTTTATTCAACAAATTTTTGACACTTTATTTCCTGGAAAGTTTTGTTACATTGGAAAAAATAAGTCCAAACAATGTTAATGTTATATATATATCTTAAGGAAACAAACAGTCAATGATCTGTAAACTTTTAAACAGAACAGTGATCTTGGCCATCATGTTCAATGTTTTCATTCTAACCAGCTTGGCCTGCCTGCCAAGTACAGTAAAGTACAGTCTGTAGTAAGACTGGGCTTTCATCGGAACTCTCACACATATTATTATACTGTAATACATACATAATGCCTGAGCACAGCAGATGCACACACACACACCTTGGATATGTATTGTCATTCATACTCATAGTTAGTGTTGACCTGGATAGGAGCAAAACTAGCTTTATTTTATTTATTGTTATTCTGTTTCATATTGATCAGAATGTTCATAACATTTTGTTTGCAGTTATCATTATGGTATCATGGTAGCTAGGTCTTCTGTATTTCCTAGACTGAATTGGTCGTGTCCGTCTAATAATAACCTTAGGCCTATACATGCATAATCAAAAGGGAGGCCAGTGTTTCAACTGTGATGATTAATGATGAAAATTCTGAGTTTGATTTTGTACATTTGATCATTTTAGTTCCTACTGAAGGTGTATTGGTAAGAAGTTGAGACAGCCATGTTAGTTTTATTATTGTAAGCATCTATACTAGAAATTAATCTCACTAAATACTCATGTTATTGGCATTTGTTTTCTTTGCAAATTTTCGTCTGCCCAAGAAATACATGCAAACATTTCACAATACAATGTGTGTGAATAGTTTCATTTTTAGTTTACTTACTGATTAAATTGTGTGTGTGTGTATATATATTTTACTATTTTTTTACATTGGTTAAATGTTGATTTAAATGCTAATCTTTTTTTACGGTTAAAACTAGTGTACTTTAGAATGATCTCGCAAGTGATCAAAACATTGTGCCTGTTTTAGAAATAAATCTTACTTACTGTAAAAGCTATAGCTTGTAAAAAAAAGTGTGGTAACATAACTAACTGCATCTTATACACTGTATTGTTACCACACACACACACACATTCATTCATGCTCAGTTAAACTTCACACAAAATTTACATGCAGCTTGTCCATTACTAGCCTATCACAAAAATATGAGAGGTGATGCAAGGCTATAAAGTGTCAAGAAGAATGTCCTGGAAAGTTATTTTTAATCAAGGGTGAAAATCCTGAGAAATTCATAAAATGTTTCTTGTATTGATTTATGTATGTGTGGGAATTTATGATTAAAAGGCAGTGTTGTAGAATCTAGGTTGATATTACTAAAGCACAGTGTAGTATTTACTAACATATGTTAAACTGTATCTATTGAAAAGAATGCAAATTATGTAATAATCTTTCTTTTATATTTTGTAAAGAATTTATATATATATTTAAAAAATTTATTTTTTAGGCAGTTTCTCAAGATGCAAAATCTGTAAGTTCCAGTGATACAAACCGTAAGCAAGAACGGCTTGCTTCAGAAAAATCAGGTTAGTATAGCGAAATCAGTTTTAAATTGACATTGATATCTTCAGAAAATCAGTATATTACTTGCTTAAGATAGAAAAGAGCAGAGCATGAACTAGTGGTAAGAGTGCTGAACTCAGGATTCATGATTTATGTCCCATTACCATGAATATTTGAAACACGCCAAAAACAGTTAAACAATGTTAGTATAGATATGCTAAAACAAAAGGAACAATAATAATTTCAGGCAAACTAGAAAGGTGCAGTGTTACTAAATGAGCATAAACAGTGGAAGCATTGTGTGAACTGTATGAGTTCATTGATATTATGGTAGTGTAATTTTTCTTCATAAGTAGTGGTAACATAGTAATTCTTAAAATGAAACAAATAATAATACTTCATACAACCTTTGTTACTTATACTGGTACTGGACAACAAGGAACATTGATAATTTGCAATAAAGATATTACAATGATATTGAAATAAAAGAATAGATAGTATAATTGGATAAGCAAGTGATACTAAATTAAGATAAATGATGGCATCTTAAGTTTAGTAACTACTAGTTTGATACAAAAACAAAATGCAGTGTTAGCATAAAATAAAAAGTTTGGTAATGTGATATTAAAATAAGAGTTATGTGTCCGTAGAAGTGGGATTGATTTGACAGTACTGAAATGAAAGGAACTAGTAATATTTAGAACACCACGTTGATGCAATGTTTTGTCAGTGTTTTAAATATTTTAGTTCAACTTCTCTAGAGAATAATCATCAGGATATGTTTTAAAAGGTACTGACAGTGCATGGTCAGTAATTAATTCTCTTAACGGAATTGGTCGGGTTTGTGACCCCAAATTGATGTTTATAATTTTCTTACTATAATGTCTAATATGTTTTGTGTGTCTTCACAAAATTTTGTGAGCTTTCACTAATCATTAACAGTCATTTGTAGACAAAAAATAAGGATTTTTAATGAAATATTTTTACTAAACATTTCTCCATGAATATATGAAGTCAAAGCGTTGACTGCTCTGAGTGCAAAATGGTTTTCATGTTAATATTAAAAATACTTTCATTTGTGTAATCTCTAAAACTTTCTAATTAAATTTCAAATGTTTTTCGTTTTGTTTTTTCACTAAAACTTTACATTTTATCTGTTATTTTCTCTAACCTAATTCTGTATGAAGTTGGTCAATTTGACTGACGTCGTAACAACTAAAAAAAAAAAATTTAAATAAATTTAAAATTACCATTTTTTTTCTTTCTAGAATGACTTGCATATTGTAACATCAAACTACATTTGTTTATCCTAAATAGCTTTAAACTCATAACTGTATACATCTATCTCTACTTAAATTTCATTCTTTTATTGCTCCTTGAACTGTGTCAAACCAATATCCCCACAACCCAAGTTGTAAATCACTTGGTGAACATGTAGTTCACATTACCCTATCAAATTAAATAACACATGGGCTACTCAAAAGTGTACCCCATGAAAAATTATTGTTATTATTATTTATTTTACTTAATCTAACCTAAAAAGTTTCTAATTTTTGACATTTTAGTTACTTTTATAATGATAGATAAAGAATACACTTGAAAAACAAGAAATAAAGCACATAGTTGGATCTGTTTTTGCTGTTGACTGTCAATGAGGCTTAACTCTACTTTTTATACTAATGATACTACTGCATTAAATAATTTTATACATAATTACATAATGCACCAAAGAACAAAAAATAATAACAAAAAAGTAGATAATATCCTATAAATATCACACTTTTTGTGGCTTTGTAACTGTGACAAGAGCTGTTAAAAAGTCAGCTAAGCTCATCAATGTATTTCTGTGGGAATAACGTTTAAAATGGAAACAAAATTCTTTTCAAATGGTGGTTATCCAGCATGCAAAATAATTTTCATTTTAAGATTAAACGTACTTTTATGCATCAGAAAATAGTCAAATTTTCACTTTTGAAATCTGCATAACCTCCAGATAATTATCAAATGTTTTTTCAGAAAACCTGTTATATCTGCATGGATTTGGTTGATCTGATTGATCTCGTAACCACCATAAAAAATTGGGAGATTGATATAAATTATGCTTTTTTCTTTCTAGAATGACTACAGATTCTAACACAAAACCACAAATGTTTAGTCTAAGTAGCTTAAATCTCGTACCATTATACATTTTTATATATGTTTATTATTTTATTGACCTTTCAGCGGTGTCTAACTAACAATAGAGAAGTTGCAATGATTCGAAGCATGTGCAGTCATGTTACCATATCCAGTAATATAAAACTGACTTTTACAAAGTGACCTGTCTTGGCTTTGTTCTAGTGGACCAATATTTTGTAAAATTAGTCACAATTTGGTTATAATACATTACATATGTATGTGTATGTGTGTTTGCATCTGTATACATATATATATATATATATATACATATATATACACACACACATACACTGGTTGAGCCAAAATTATGTATAAACACTTTAAATAACCATATTTAGTAGATAGCATGATCAATTTTACAGCTAAAATATATACTTAACTCTACAGAAAGATGTTAACCTGCCAGGGATTAGAGTTATCTTGAATTTTTAATGAATTATACAGTTTCCACAATAAGAAACATGTTTTCGTATACATTGGTGTACTTTTAACAGGATGGTGCACCTCCACATTACACATATTTTAATGTGCATGTGCCTATCTGGATAATGAATTTCTCGAATGGTGGATAGGTCGCAGGGGAATTGCTTTTGAATACCCCTAAGGTCTCCAGATCTCACTCTCCTAGACATTTTTGCATGTATATACATGAAAGATAAAATGTGCAGTCATAAACCACAAACAATGCAGGATTTTTTTGGTGATGGTACAAAGGAAGCAAGCAAAATTACAGCTGACATGTGCACCACCTATGTCAGACTGTTGAGAAATGATGCCGTTCATGTATGCGTTTTGGTGACGGATATTTTGAACTTCTGTAATGTATCACATTTCTATGTATTTGAAACATATCAAAGGGCTTATACATCATTTTGACTCACCCTGTATATATATATATATATATATAATTATTATTTACAAATACGTTCTTAAATTTCAGTTATTTTTCTTAAAACATAGAACAGTAAAGAATAAATTATAGAAAGCAATGATCTTTTCTACTTATGAACTTTGTACTCACTTGCCTTAATTTTCTAAGCCTTGTCAAATTTTGCATGTGAAGGATGTAAAACAAAATATTTTTTTTTTAGATTTTATATATGCATTTGGAAATAACAAAAAAAATCATAAATTACTATATCAATAACACATAATTCCACTATAACTTATCAGGCTTAGTAACTAAGCTGTATTTGGGTCTAAAAAATATTATATTTCGAGCTCCATTTTTTCCTACCTTTCCACTTAAATTCTACTGTGAAAAGGAAGGTTTTCCTGCGTAAACACTTTGCAGAGGCTGAGAAAACCATGTGGAGGACATTCTGAGAGTTCAATTGGTTATATATAAATCAGAGAACATAATATCTGTATCTAAGCAAGTGTTTCCAAAAATGAAAGAGGTGAGCGGGGGCATCTTGGTTGATTCACTATATATAATAATATCTCAGAAAATAGAAAAGATAATAAGAGGTTCTTGTTTTATATTCTAGCTTGTCAATATCAGTAATTTGAGTTTTTAATTCATAAGAAAGTTTAGACTTTGTATTTGAACATCACAAACATCTAATTTGAACTAAACATTCCACATGACACAAAAAATCAACATTTAGGAACTTTAATATTTGCTTTTAAATTAAGAAATCAACTAATGTATAATACTAAAATTCGAATTATAATCTACAATTTGATACCAAACTTATTGACATACATTCATAAAATAGTTTCAATAAAATTTTGAATGTAATTCTACAAACGTGATGGCATGCCCTGTCAAGAAAGGATTAAATGTGATACTTCTTGGAGAGGTGATAAATAAATTAAAAAAGAGGGGATACCTAGAGAGTAAATGTCACAATTATTATACTAAGGGAAATTGAGGGTTTGTTTTTTTAATATTGTCTTATGAAATTAAGAACTTAAAACTTGTATAATATTAAAATTTGGATTATTATGTTTTGATGCCAAGTTTATTCTTATACTTTGATAATAAAGTACTTTAAATAAATTTTGAAGGCACATCCCTAATACCTAGTGATGTGCAGAAAAGGATGGCTGTAGCGAGAATGTTAAATCACTGCATGATAGATCTTACTCAGATTTCTGTTCTTGAAATATGTAGTTTAATTTGTATGCTATTACAGTCTCTGTTCATTTTGATAATTGGTTTGTGTGCTATTGCAAACTGAATATTTTCATGGTGATGTATTTTTAGCTGTGACATTGTGGCTCATAGAACAGCTCTGAGTTTTTTGTTGTTCTTTTCTCAAGTAAAAAAACGTTTAGCTCATAGCTCCATCATTTCTTGACTGATTTGAGATCTAATTACAGTTTTGGACTCAGTCAGTTAAACCCTTTTGATTGATGTATTTGACCACGCCCAAAGCCTCATAGGTTACTTTACTCTAATCTTGCCTAAAGGAATTTCTATTTGAGGGTAGGCTAGTAGAGATCATGTTGAATAATAAAACTGAAACAGGTCAGTGCGTGCCTCATGCTTGGTATTGCTGGCACTCAAAAATATAGCTAATAAAATGGAAAAAAAGGTCTCGTAGATGAATTTACTCTAATTCTGCCTAAAAGAATTTCAAGTACTGCGGCTATTGAGGATTCCTTGTTTAATTCTTGTTCTAGTGAACTCGGGCAGTGAATTGAAATAAGGTATTCTTGTTTTTGCTCACCAGATACTGAGGAGAAACTTCAAATTCTTCCAACATTATTGTGGAATTGTTTAAGAGTAATGTCTGTTCTGTGAATGTGTAAAGTATAGTAAGGTACTTAGCAGTGAGAAAAATATATTAAAACATCATTAACTTAAGTTTGATTAATCAATTCTGACACTATTTAGTCTTTTTTTGGCCAAGTTTTGGGTTTGTGGCAAAAGGTAGTATGTCTGTAAGGTGGTCTAATCCACTGAGATTGACCAAACAAAAGCTAGCTCAAGCATTTAACATTATATTCTTACCTGAAAATATCAACATATTCCAGAAATTTAACTTTAATCAATGTATGTTATTGTATTGTGTGTATGTTTTTCTAAGTTCTGAATTTTTATTCTATTTGGGGAAATTATAAGGTATTCTTGTTTTTGCTCACCAGATACTGAGGAGAAACTTCAAATTCTTCCAACATTATTGTGGAATTGTTTAAGAGTAATGTCTGTTCTGTGAATGTGTAAAGTATAGTAAGGTACTTAGCAGTGAGAAAAATATATTAAAACATCATTAACTTAAGTTTGATTAATCAATTCTGACACTATTTAGTCTTTTTTTGGCCAAGTTTTGGGTTTGTGGCAAAAGGTAGTATGTCTGTAAGGTGGTCTAATCCACTGAGATTGACCAAACAAAAGCTAGCTCAAGCATTTAACATTATATTCTTACCTGAAAATATCAACATATTCCAGAAATTTAACTTTAATCAATGTATGTTATTGTATTGTGTGTATGTTTTTCTAAGTTCTGAATTTTTATTCTATTTGGGGAAATTATAACTTATCTCTGTATCACATTTCTCTAATCTCTCTGTTTTACTGTTTTTAATTTTGTAATATAGTCTCTTTATATGTTAATTATTTGATTCTTTAAATACCTAAATAAATTTATACCTAAATCGTTTTTGATAAATATTTTTTCATAACTAACCTTTGTGAATCCTAGAAGAATATCCTGAAGAAAAGGTGAAAGTGAAACATAAGGAGAGTCCTTCCAAAAAGCAGCCTACTGCTAATGGTAAACTTAGTACTTCTGCAACTTATTTAATACAAAGAATGTTAGACAGTGAACCATCACCAAAGATTGTATCTGAGGAAGAAACAAATCAGGAAGTATCTCCTTGTTCAGTTGAAAGGAAGGGACAGTTTACTTCTCCGCAGAAGCACTCAAGTCCAAAACAAGATTCCAAAATGCAACAGAAACACCTTCACTCCCCTACAGCTGATAAAGAACTTTATATTGGTGATGACAAAAGTGAAACTGGGACATACACTGTAGAAGGAGACCAAACTGACAAAGATTTGGAAGAGGCTCGTCGGAAAATTGACGAGGTCTTTGGTGTGTTTATAAATCATGATTCAATGTCTGAAACACAAAGTGCTTTTTCTTTAGTTGGAGACTTAACCAAAGTAAGTAAACAGTTCATTTTTGATTTGAAATATTAGTGTTACTTCCATATATTACTGGACTCTCCAAATAAGCTACTCTTGTTCAAAAGGTTAATCTGGTGTCTTGAATTTTTGCTATCAACTTATGTCTTCTTTTACTAATTTTATACCATTTTGTGTTAAATCACTGGTTGAAGAATATTTTAGTTAGAGTTTAAGATTTCTTCTGTAGAAGATGATTATGCTTTGAAATAAAATAAAAAATCACTCTCCTCCTCATAGGTTAATAGCAAATCATACCTTTAAAAGGTTTCCAATCTTCTTTGCAGCTACTGTTAACCCTCTTGCTATGAGCATTTTTTTCTGCACACATCATGAGGTTTTTCTGAATTACATTGAAACTTTAATTAAACCACTTTCTTGTCATGTTATGCATAAAAACATAGCTAATAATCCAAATTTTAAAAATATATAAGCTTTTAAGTTCCTAATTATATAAGACAACATTTAAAAAATCCTCAATTTACCCTAGTATGAGAATTCTGACATTTGCTCTCTAGGCATCCCATCCTTCTCTGACTTGTTTACCACTCCTCCAAGAATTACAAAATTTAATGTAAATTACTCATTATAATGTTGTCATCACTTATGCAATGCATAATTTTTATAGCTTTCAACCTTATTTGGTTACAGAACCGTAAACTAGAAAATTAGATCCCTCTTGCCATGTCCATCTGTCACAACCTCTCTTTCAGAAGTTGCCAATAGTTCTCTCTGGTGTTTAATACTATATTATTTATAACCAATAGAAGGTCAAAATTTTAATGACATATTATGTACATTGTTTTCCGTACAGAGAATTATCTGGTTCACTTCCAGTTCAAACTTTCTTCCCATGGTAAACACATTGGCCGAGATTTTTAATGGCTCTTGTCGCATAGTAAAAAAGCCAGAAAAATTGTGATATAAATAGGATATTGTTTGCCTTTTATGTGTTCTTTGGTACATTATTTAATTAAATTATTTAATGTAGTTATACCATTAGTATAAAAAAAAAGGCTTAAATTTCATTGACAGTTGACAGCAAACAAAAAGAAGGCCCAAGTAAGTACTAAGTTTCTTGTTTTCCATGAGTATTCTTTATTTATTATTATAAAAGTAACTAAAATGTAAAAAGTAGCAGCTTTTTAAGTTAGATAAGTAACATAAATAATACTAATTTTTCACGAGGTATGCTTGCAAGTAGCACATGCATTGTGAAATTTGATAGAGTAATGTGAGCTCCATGTTTGCCAAGAAATTTATAAATTTTAAAGGGGGAATATTAGGTTAGACATGGTTTAAAATTTAAGTATAAACTGAAGAATATGTTACGAGTTTAAAGCTATTTAGGATAAACAATGTAGTTTCATGTTACAATATGTAGTCAGTCTAGGTAGAAAAAAGGATAATTTAGATTTATTTCACATTTTTTTGGTGGTTACAAGGCTGGTCAAATTGACCAACTTCGTACAGAGTTAGGATATAGAAAATAACAGATAAAATATGAAGCGTTACTGAAAAAAATGTCTGAAATTTATTTATTAAGTTTTAGAGATTTCAGAGGAGCAAAAAAATTATGTTTAATCTTTAAATAGATAACACAAGGTCATTTCAAACATGTAAAATTTTTTCTCTCTTCTCACACTTTTAGCATCAGCTCACCGGTGCTGGATTTCTTGTTTAATTCAGGTGCTAAGTTCTTTATAACTAATGTTTCTTTTAACCTTAGCCACTGCTCATTTTCAGCCTATCCGATAATTTAGAATTGTTCAATTTTTACATTCGTGCATTCTTCTCTATGTCAGAAAATGTTTGAGAATTCTGCATACCTTGACACACTATGTTCTTTAACTCAATCACTAAGTCTCCTCGCCATCGACCCTATATACGAGCTATAACAAACAGAGCACCAATATCTGTAGACAACATGTGATCAGTCCGCTTTGTACTGAACAAAATAGTTCCTTATTCTGTATACTGGTTTAAGTACCACACATAGTTTAACTTGTGGGTACACATTACAAAGGAAGTTCTTTATATTTTTCTTGATTTTCAAAGCATGTGTTCCAGTAAATGGTAGTTTCATATACAAAATCTTTTTTGGAACATTATCTTTCTCTTCCATAGGCGTGGCAGCTTTGTTCATATAATCATTGATAACTCATGTTAAAACTTTTATTTGGAAGTCATTCAATCATAAGTAATTTTTGATGTTTTCCACTTCATAGTTTATGAGCTCGATATACGAGAATTCTGATTAGATTTACTCTAAAGTTATTAGGTATAAAACTATTATAGTTGAAGTACAACCCCAAAAAATGTAGGTTTATGATAAATTCCGATTTAAAATTATCATATTTTTTTCAAAGAGAGTGTCTAAAAAAAGGCAGCATTTAATATCTTTTTTTTTCTGTCGTGAATTTAATATTATGCTATTTATTCAGATAATTCAAAAAATTATTTACTTGTTCTTCACTTTCAAATATGATAAATGTGTTGTCCACATATCTTTTATACACTATTGGTTTAATTTCTATTGGACATTCTTCTAACCATTTCTTTTCATTAAAACACATAAATACATTAGTCAATATGGGGGCTAAACAGGAACCCATACTAACTCCATTTTTCTGATCATAAACCTTACCATTAAACAAAAAATATGATTGTTTTGTAGCTACAACCATTAATTCATGGAATATCTCTTTAGGTATTCACATAAAGCTACCCCCTTTTGTCATATAACAAGGTTTTACATATCTCAATGATTTCATCTAATGATATGTTAATAAATGATTCTACATCAGAACTTTCAGTTACTACATCCTTATCAAATTTCAAATCCTTAATATTCAAAAATATCTTTCAGAGTATATTCATTATTAATAAATTCTTTTAAGCCTTTACTTAAAAATATTGCTAATTTGTGATTATAGCAACCAATGTTGGACACAGTAGGTCTCATTGGACAATTGTCTTTATGAATTTTTGGCAATCCATACAATATACCTGCATGCGAACCAGTAGGTCTTATTTCATTATAAATATCTTCTGTTATGATGCTTTCTTTTTCAGTTTTAATAAGTATTTAATCAGCTTATTTTCTCTAGTTTTGGTGAGATCTTTTTTAAGGAGTTTCAATTTACTTTTGTCCTTAATAATGTCATCAACTTTGTTGTTATAGTCTTCCTTATCTATAATGACTACTTTGTCACCTTTATCAGGCTTCGTAATCACTATCTTTTTGTTCGTACTTAACTTTATCAAGACTTGATTTTCTAGCCAACTAATATTCAATGGTTTAGAATTCAAGTTGTAACTCTGTAAACCATTTAAACCTGTACTAGTAATATGTGTACACACATTATTAAAATTAATTTCAGCAGATGAATTAACTTTACAACACTAAAGATCCTTTAATAAGAGTTCAAATCCTAATAAATAATCATAAAATTCCAATTTCTTAGGAGTGATTGCAAATCCTAATCCTCTAGATAATACTTTCTTTTAAATATAATTTAAACAATAATTTCATAAATTTATTATTACATCATCAGGATTACTTGAAAAGATTTACTAATTTGTTTTTCTTCAAGTTAAAATTTTTTTATTCTTTGCTAATCGTATTACTATCAGTTTAGTGTTGTTATTTCTTATAATCTTATTATTCAAATAAAAGAAGTCAACTTTACTAATTAACTTTTCAAGTTGTAATTTATCTTCTATAATTATTTTTTCAAGCTTTTTAAATGTCTTCTCCTTATATTTAATTTCACTTTCTGAAAACCTTTTTTGGCTTTCCTTATATTGTTTTAATTTTTTGAACCTAAAATTAACAGTTTTAAAATTTAAAAATTTTGGTATTAATCCATAAACCTTCCATTTATTCAACAAATTACAAACTAATTTATTTTTATTTAATTTGATATAATCTTTTTCAAGTTTTCTATACTTTTAACACTGCTTTATTGTACCTTTTTTGTATAATTTGAATAGTAGATTTGTTTTCCGGAAATCTTAAATGTGATATAAATCTGAGTATCAACCGTTTAACAAAAAACGTTCTATATTGACTTAAGTTACCTATTGGAAAGGCTGAAAATGAGCAGTGGCTAAGATTAAAACACAAAGAACTTAGCACATGAATTAAACAAGAAATCCACCACTGGTGAGCTGATGTTAAAAGTGTGAGAAGAGAGAAAAAAGTTTTAATCTTACTATAAAAATCACTTTGCACTTAGAACGGTCAACACTTTGACTCCATGTATTCATGAAGAAATTTTTAGTTAAAGTACTTCATTAAAAATAGATTTTTTTTGTCTATAAATGACTCTTAATGCTTCCTGAAAACTTTGCAAAATCTTGTGAAGATACACAATACATATTAGAAGCTATAGTATGGAAATCTAAAGGTCAGTTTGCAGTAAATTTTTAGTTTGAATCGACTGAGTCTGCAACACGACAATTAAAAGGCTTTGAAAACAGAAAATCTAATAGTCAAAGAAATTATTTGTGGGCATAAAATAACATTGTGCATGGGCTTGCACACAGAATTTGCCACTTTCCAGCTCTCTCTCTCTCCCATTCTCCAAAGTTTGTGTTCACAAGAGCTAGATATCTCAATCATCTTCTGAACCTTTCCTTTAACTCTTTCAACCCAGGCTTGGTCCCTGGGACTGATCTCGTAACCATTTTGTCCTTGTTGTAGTTTACATGATATAACTTTTAAATTAGTAAGTGAATGTTAATGAAATTTGGCAGTTTATCAGTAAACATTGCAATGCTTTCATATGCAAAATATCTAATTTTGTTTATTAAGTATTAAGGTTTGTAAAGCAATGTTTCTCTCATGGTTTTTTTTTCTTTTCACATCTTACCTATCTATCATGCAAAGTAATTTTCATTTTAAGATTAAAAATACTTTTATGCGTCAGAAAA